GAGTCAGTTGGTATCTTCATGGACTTTTGGGCTTTTCAAAGGGAATTTTGCTTGTTTGATTTTGAACACAGCTTTTTTATATACATTTCACTGTTGAATTGTGCCTCACGTCTAAGTGCTTTTTTTAGGACAGGCTGGACGGGAATTATGAGTGATTTATAGAGTTTGGTTTTTGTTCGTCGAGAGAGAACTTTGTTTCTCAATTGCTTGTTCAGTCCGAAGTAGCACCTGTTGGCAAGAGTTATGCTGCGTTGGATTTCCAGGCTGACATTGTTGGTGGTTTTTACGCTGGTTCCAAAATAGACGAAATTATCTACGATTTCAAAGTTATGACTGTCAACAATGTCGTGAGATCTAAGTCGCGAGTGCGACGACTGTTTGTTTGATGACAGGAGATATTTCGTCTTGCCCTCGTTCACTGCCAGACCCATTTGTGTTGTTTCCTTGTCCAGTCTGGAGAAAGCAGAACTAACGACGCGGGTGTTGAGGCCAATGATATCAATATCATCGTCATACGCCAGCAGCTGTACACTCTTATAGAAGATGGTACCTTCTCTATTTAGTTCTGCAGGTCGAACTATTTTCTCCAGCAGCAGGTTAAATCGCACGATAGGGAATCGCCTTGTCTGAAACCTTGTTTGGTATCGAACGACTCGGAGAGGTCTTTCCGATCCTGATGGAGCTTTTGATGCTGCTCAACATCAGTTTACACAGCTGTATTAGTTTTTCGGGGATGCCAAATTCAGACATCGCTTCGTAAAGGCAGCTCCTTTTCGTGTTGTCAAAAGCAGCTTTGAAATCGACGATGAGGTGGTGAGTGTCGATTCTCTTTCACGGGTCTTTTCCAAGATTTGGCGCATGGTGAATATCTGGTCGGCTGTTGATTTTCCAGGTTTGAAGCCACACTGATAAGGTCCAATCAGTCTGTTAACGGTGGGCTTTAATCTTTCATACAATACGCTCGATAGAACCTTACATGCAATATTGAGGAGGCCGCATTTTTTCGTTGAATTAGCGAGCATTACCCCTTTCGGCTAGCTTATTAAGCTCTTCGTACTCACGCATTTCGGCCTCTTTTTTTTCTGTCTGAAAATGTGTCTCGCTTCCCTCTTCAACTCTCGGTGTCTATCCTATCCCGCAAGTGTTGTGGTCGATCGTAACGTTGAAAGAAATGTTTCTGAATCAACTCGGTCCAGTATATCAGCACGAGTCAGGGGATGTGAGGTACCATTACAGTTAAGAGTTGCTCCAGTGAATTCCGGATTCTAACGGGGTTAGATCGCTGCAAGAGCAGCCCTTTGTTGGATAAAATCCGGTTCAATTCCGCTAACGCAAAGCCGGCTGTCGTGGGAAGTATTCTGTCAGAGATCTTGGTTATGATGCTGAAACTTTTGGAATCCAAGTCAACCAAGGAGACCTCCTTTTACTGTAGTTGCAAATACAAGTTCTCAATTTAATAACAAACCGCTTGATTAGCAGACAAAGAGGTATTTTTTTCCGGGACGTATCAGAGGCCACCTGACAAACTTTATTGCTGAAAATGGTACTGAGACAATAGTGCAAAAACAATGTAGTTGCGCTTGCTATTGGATCCTGCGGAATAGCTACAATCTTGCTGAGTTGTGGTAGAACCGCACACTCAGTATTCAAGCTACCCCTGAATTATAGAAGTGAAGAAAGGCCAATTTGCACTATCAGCAAAGGTAGTAGTCGCGGTACTCTTCTACAATGGATTGATCGCGTGAGACGAATGTCCAACATCTCACTATCGAGCGATTCAAGCAGGTGGCTTTTTCTATTAAAATATAGAGAGATGGACCAAGTATCCTTTGGGTAGCCAACGAACATCCATGAAGGCGAGCTAAAGTGAGAAGGCAAAACATTCCCTCCACAGGGTTGTGCGCTGAGTTTGGGAACCGACACATAAAAAACAACACCAATGAAAACTAATTGACAGACTCGGATGAGGGATCCTTTATTTGATTACGATTTGGGGGTATGCACCTGGAAAGTCCGGTCCCGTAATTGGATAGGTGCCGCTGCCCACCTGGTTGATGTCCTCGTGAAAATAAAGGCCGACATCACCGCCGTCGTGTAAGGCGAGTAGGTCCTTGTGGCATGTACTACAGTGACAATATAAGGGAGCGCAAATAAGGTGTATGGTTCGTGTTGGCAGAGAGATTACGTAGCCGAGTACTGTCATTCACCGTGGTGGATGAACGTTTAAATACAATAAGCATCAAAGGGAAGTTTTTCTAGACGGAAGAGATGCATTCTATGAGCGCTTGGAGCACACCTATGACAGCTGCCTCCGCCACGATATCAAAATCGAGCTTGGCGACTTTAACGCCAGGATGAGCAATGAGCATATCCTTGGTATAACGGTTGGTAGATTCAGTCTCCAAGAAAAAACCTCCCGAAATGCGTTGAGGCTGATCGACTTGCCGGGGCTCAAACTATAGTTATCTGTAGTAATGCATTCCAGCACAAGCAAATATCGAAAAGCCATCAACCAGATCGATCGTGTTGTGATAGACATTAGATACGTCTCCACTGTTTTGGAAGTGCGTACACTCCGAGGTCCTAACATCGAATCGAAACACTATCTTGTTGTAGCCAAGATATCTCTTGCCAACAGGTGCTGCTTCGGACTAAGTTGGCAATTGAGAAGTAAAGTCCTCTCTCAACAAACCAAACCCAAACTCCATGAGGAGAGGCTTGGACGATTACAGCAACTGATGACGTTGCGATTTTGGAGAGAAAAGTTCTGCGAAGGATTTATGGTCTTTGCACGTTGGCCACGGCAAATATCGCGTTCGATGGAACGATGAGCTGTATGATATATATGACGACATTGCCATAGTTCAGCGAATTAAAAGACATCTGCTACGCTGGCTAGTTCATGTCATCCGAATGGACGGGAACACTCCAGCTGTGAAAGTATTCGACGCAGTACTCGCCGGGGAAGCAGAGGAAGAGGAAGAGCTCTACTCTGTTAGAAAGACCAGGTGGAGAAGGACCTGGCTTCGCATTTAATATCAGACGTCGATTTTCTCACAGTTCGTAGAAGTTCTTATAGTATTTGCGTTGAGAAAATTATATTGATGAAGCTTCAACAGTTATGTTTGTACATTAAACTTATTAAAGAATTGGACCACGCCCACTTTTTAAACAAAATTTTATCCGCAAATGCCCCTTTGTTACTGTGATCCCCTGTACCRAATTACACTTTGATATCTTAATAAGACAAACGAACAAAAGTATAAAAACGGATTGAACTGGGTCAATAGTTAGCTTATAACTAATATAATGATAATGTCCAATATATCCTATATAATGGTTTCCAACTTTTCGCCTGACTTCAAACCATTTAGTTGGTTGGTCAAAATGTAATATTTTAATGCAACTGAGTGGAAACTTTTTCCTAAAAGTTACAAAGCTATGATAATGGTTTGACACTTAATACAAAGGAAAATGGTCTGGTCTAAACCTCATATCCCTAATATAATGATTTCCGATCGTTTGGTTGACGTGTTTCACACCAACTAAATTTATTAAACTTAAGCTCTTTAGTTGAGTTTATGACACAAATGTCCCATCTTAGGCTGTCATTGGTATAATATTCAATGGCAAGCAGTAAAATATAGTAATAAAACTACGTTTATGTCCTTAAAACTAGGTTAATACTCATCACGATTTTGTCGAATAACGCATGTTGAACCCATTCGCTACATTTTTTGATATTGCCAAGACCTGAAGGTATTTAGCCGGCTTTAATCTTTGCCAGTTTCAAGAATATAAAATGTTCGGTTATACCCGTATTTAGCCCTTCCTTACTAGTATTTTTTATGGTTTAGTAATAACACGTCGAAAAGAAAAAAATATATGATTATAATTGCACATATTAAAGCACTATAATAAGAGAGAAAAATAAAGGGTAAGGAGGTGTTTATATTTCAATAAAAACACATAATTTCTGTGTGGAATATAACGCATGTGGAATTAAGATAAGATAGCGTATACACAAGTAAGCTGTTTATGAATTACAACCGACATTAAATTGTTAACACAGTTTCTTATATGTTTTCAATGTTTCACATTTTGTTGGCAAAGAAAACTAAGTAGTTGGAAGTATTTAATACTTTATTTTATAATACTCACAACATATCTAAGTGGTTTTACATTTGGTGTATATTATGGATTTTCACACAAAAAAAGTATATCTCTGCTCTTCATATGTAAATGCATAAATATTTACATGATGTACTTGGTATATTATATATTCAATATCAGCTTTAGGTTTATTCGAATAGAAAGCTAAATATAATATAAAAAATCACATATATTACATAAGATATTAAGACTACATATTCATTTTAAACAAATATTAAATATTATTAAACTTTTTAAATATAATATAATATATAGTAATGCAAAAGCGGTCCCAGGGCTGTCTCTTATACACATCTTTTTAAATTAATAAATTTAGGTGAAATATTACA